CTACCGATTCAATTTCGAAAAAAATATTCCGCTGAAAGATTGCTCTAAGAGGGATTGCTCGTGTTCCGCTGTTGGTTCTTTCACTCGCAATATCGCGTATTTTGAATTCGCCGATGAGATTCGCTATTTAAACTTTTCAATGAATATCACTGTCAAGACTGCTTTACGACGTACATTCAACGAAATACATTAGTCATTTATCTACAGCATTGCGTGATTATGTCCGCAATAGGATATTCTGTTTTATGAAGTTTTAAATAGAGTAATTGCTAATTCCGTATCTCTCTCTCGTTTTTCTGTAACTCGCGTAATAGCATTATTTGTCAACCATTATTTAAAAGAAATCATAAATTTATCTTTAGATGTGCAGTTTTATATGCAACAAGTGGATATTATTTTTAATAATATGAAGATAAAAATACATATTTGAAACGATTATTCCGTATCAAATATCTCTTAAACGACCAATAAAACGGCACAAATTGGCTTGCTTGCGATGTTTACTTTTAATTACAATTTACCTTATGACTCTGCCTCTTTTATCGCGCTCGCCGAGTTACGACCTCGTGCTGAAAAAGTGCTCCGGAGTGTCGTCGTTCGCGAAACAGGCACACCTCCCTTACCCGGCATTAAGCACTGTCGCCGTAGACGCTAATTTAAATACGACAAGAATTCCAGATTTCCTCGGTGGAGGGTGAGAGTGGAGCCACTTTACTACCTAATACATAGGGAATGCAGATACGTATCGGACAGTACGACGAGGAAGCAACGGCGCACAGAGGGGACGGAGAGGCAATTGTTTTTGTCGTGGGGGCAACGGAAGCTGGTGGGACACGGGAGTGCGAGAAAGAGAAACGAACAAGGGGTGGGAAAGGGCAGGAGCAGAGAAAGAGAGAGAGAGGGAGAACGGGGGTGGATTCGGTTACGCAGCGCTACCGCGGCCGATCCGGGAAACTCGGACGGGGTTGGTCCGAAAGCTCTCTCAGTCGCGGGCAAGCCGCCACGTAGTGATATCACCCTATATATCGCGGGTAACTTAAATCCGCTCCGCGTCTCACGACCAGAATCCCGTTCTGATAAGAACGTAAGTTCGTTAGTGAGAGTATGGCCGTATTAATTGAATTCATCGACCGAAATACAAAGATGAAATTGTGTTGAACAGACTATCAAAAGTCGAATGCAAGATTTATGTGACGGATCGAGGATTCATGTTATTGGAACATCACTTCGGAAGTTGCAATGTTTAAATAAGTGTCATTTTTCTCGTATCAGTTTCTCCGTTCTCTCCTCAATTTTTTCCGGTAATGATTTTATGTGCGACATGAATAAAATACAACCCGAGAAAGTCAGGACGTATCGCGGTTTTGTACCAGTGAGAGCTATGACACTTCGTCGCTGACCATTCAGTAGCGCAGCTGCAATCGCGACTAACGAGAAATCGTGCTCTTATTTGCACCGTTATACCGTTGTCGGGATACCACGATTCCGTGCCGCACTATCATCTCCGGCGATTAAAGTAACAAACGTGCATACATTCGCATAGTATCTCGCTGGCCTCTCATTTATTACATCTACCTTTGCCTCTGACAATTTATACATATATTTGAATAAAGAGTATAATATAACAGTTTCATAAATTTCAATATCTCGACTGTCACAAATATTTGATACATGTAAAGAATATCGCAATATTCGAAAGGTCTATTTTTTTATTTTAGTTTTTTTTCAATTTTTAAAAGCAAATGTGATTATAACGCACTGTGATAAATTAATAGATTTATATGAAAAATCTTTCTTCCTCTTTTTTTTATTATTTCCGAAAATAGGAATTGTGTTAAAGATAAGACTATTGGATTCAAAGAATCGGAAAAGGGTGATAGTGGCAAAGAGATAGCGAGGCGTGACAGATTTCCTTAGACGTATACGAAATTCTCTTTGAGCTGATCGTGCTAACGATATAGTGACTCGGTTTTTGGCAACCGCATGAGCGGTTAGTTTCCAATTGACCGTGCGAAAAGGTAGTTACGAACTTTATGATTACACAGCACGAGAGGATTGCTTCATTTGTCGATTACATGCAAGCTCGCACTTCGCAGACATAATTCGCGAAGTGTTGTAACGAGGGGCGGATTGCGTGCAACGATATCGCATATCTTGTTTTCAAAATAATTTTATACGCGTAAAGAATTTATTCGAATCATCGTTCTTTGCCAAATATCTCGATTTTAACTGCTTCTCTTTATTTGACTTTGAATTATTCGGGTAAGCTTTTAGCCGAACTGCAAACAAGCTTATTAATTTAGGTGATGGCCTTATCGAGTAAGCCAATAAAAATAATTTTTACGAGGAGGTGAGAAGTTAGTACACTTATCATTCGGAACGTTTGGGTCGTCTCCAACTTCTGACAATTGTGGGCGTTGCGGATAAAAAGGGGGTCAACCAACGCAAAGTGCAATAGCGCGGCGCGACGAAGAAAGATTTCGCATTGCGCGTCGTGCCTGCAACAGTCGTTAAATATTCATGACAACCGGACGGTCAGATTTGCAGGTGGCTAAATTATTTATGATTCTTTTCGTGATTGTGTATAATAAAGCGTAAGTTCTGTTGTAAATAACGATAAATACGACGATTGTGAAATATTTACGCAATTTGCTTGTCCGTTTTGCCAGACGTTTTTTTTTAGATCTTTCCGTGAATAAAATATCTGCCGGTTAATTACTGCAATTATCACTGAACTATGCTTTTATCGATAAAAACAAAATTTGAATTTTATCTCAACAGCGTTACTGAAATTCAATTAAAATTGTGTCGTTAATTTATAAAACGAACGAGATAATTAAATCATTTCAAAAAAATATTATTACGTACATTTTTAAATAATCTCTTGAAAAATACTTTGTCGAGCAAGTTACAAAACGAAGATGACGACAGATTTATTAAATGAGCTCGTCGTTTACGAAACTCGTAAATTATGTAGATAGATCATAAGATTGATCGGTAATTCGTTCTTTTCATTTTCTTGCTTAAATTATTATCATAACCCGTGTTTCATTCTCGTGACGAGTTACACAAACGCGACATCCAATCCAGTCGTCTCACGTGGCTTACTTGGTCGCGGCACAAACGTCGACAAATTTCTCATCCGGTACACTCCTTCACAACCGTTACAATCGTTAGCTGCTTGCAAAGTTGTAATCGCGTGAGTCTTCCGGAAAGCTGCCACGTAACCGTCGAATTAGAACGACGATGAAAGACCAATTCCCGGGTAATCGAACTAGCTCTCGCTTCCCGTTAGCCTTCGTACGAGACGTTATATTGCTTCATCTCTTGAGTTCGACAGAAATTCCCGAGCTGCGCCAAAGCGGAGCAGTTGGTTTTTTCTCATCTCCCCTTTAACGTCCCTTAACGTCGAAATATCGTTCATCAGCCTCCGTCGTATCCTCTTTCGATCACTCTTGCGTAACGGATGAATGTATCTCGTTGCAGAATTACGACCGTTTGCTATCTCAATAAATAATCTTGATCAATTAATTGAAACTGTATAGATACCACATAATTATATCTAATATTTAAACAATGGTATATTAATTAACTTATTCGCGAATAATTGAATGCGAATGTTTGTATTACGAATCTAATGTAAACGGTCATGCCTCTCGCCGTTGGTTTAGTATGCTTTCTATATCCACGCTTTCGTACCAGCCGAATGTGCAGCGAGCTATTTAAACTTTCGGTCAACGGAGGAGTAGTTAAAGTTTGAGAAATTCGGGTAACGCGTGTGTACTTTAATTAACACGCATACGTAGGAAGTTCCTTGGTTATTAAGCCCTGTCGTCTGGAAATTGGATGTACAAATCCTGCAATGCTCATCCTGTGGTGTTATATATGTGAATATATATATATATATATATATATATATATTCACATCTGTATCAGCGTATATTCATATAAATTCTTGATTTGTCGTGAAATATAGTTGCGCAGAAATAAATTCAGCGAGCTAACATTTAATGACAAATGGGCTTCAATTATTATGGCCTTTCCTGCAGACATATTTGTCTCATTGGTTTATATTTACATTTCATTAAACTTTATGTTTCGAAATGATACGCGTATATTCTGTTTGAAAAATTCATTTTTCATATATATTTAACTCTATAAAGCTTATAATAAGACTCTAAAGAGTCCAGGGAGATTGAAATGAAGGATTTACTTGGTTAGATTTTAGCCGAGCTGCCCCAATTATCTATGGAACGGAAAAAGCTCGGGCGGGGGGAATGCAGCTGATTACCGGCAGGGTGTAGTAAATCCTAAAATCCACTGAATTTCGAAGCTCCGAAGTATGTCGTAATCGAGTCACTCCGCGGTCAATCTTAAACTACCGAGTTATACGAGTGACTCTGCGGCACTCGCGCTCCAGCACTTTAATCCGAGGGTCTTGAGAGTGCACCTGGTAGACGACGCTGGTATATCTCTCACTGGCTGCGAACTTCGGGTTAGCTTGCGAGAGAGAGACGGGCGTTAGGAGGGCGCGGGAACGGTAGACCCAATTACATCTCGTTCGTGCAGAATTGGACGAATACATACAAGATGCTTAAGACGCCTTAACTATCTTGGGATTTGTACTCACATTCTAACTGTCGAGATTCGTTTAAATACCTTACGCTGGACTTTCGTCGGTTATACCGAGGATTTCTATCAGCCGATAAATCCATCACTGCAAACGCGGACAAATGGATTTTACTCAAATAGGCTCTTGTGTATTCGTAGTTATTGTAATTTATGATTTTGATTTAAATAATTTTTTTCCAATTACCTTACATAATTTTTACGATTCTATTTATGATTAATTTTCTAATATTCATTTATTGTTTAATCAAGCAAAGAAATTTTACAAATGCATTGATATAAAAATATGAGAATAACTTGTTGTAAATAACCATTAAATTGAATTTGATTGATTGTATGTTTAATACGACCGATTTTTTTATTTGTTACAGAAAATTACAACACAAAGATGCTGCCATTTTCTACGGAACGGTTATGTTCACATAACGAAATGTGAGTGGCGATGAAAGAAATTTCTATGAAATTGAAGATTCAAGATTTAACCGATTAATGTACATCTCTGCTTCGGGTTAATGGAGCGCAACCCATGGAAGGGGGGTACACTGCCAAGCGAAGACGGAGATTTCTTGAACCAGGATTAGAAGGCTGCCTAAAATCAAGCGCACTTGTTCTCGTCTCAAATCGATCAAATCATTGACGTGAGCTTTACGAAGAGCTTTAAACTTCGCGCACTAGATTCAGCAACGCGCGCGTAAGCTGCTTCAATCACGCCGCGGCAACAAATCTGTGAAAATCTGAAACTGTAATTCTACATGAGGGTAGATCCGCCGGAGAAGAGAAAAAAAGGAGAAGTCGCCCGATCGCCCTCGGACGATCAAAGGATCGCCCGCTGAGAACAAATTTATTCTATGTCTTGCGAATTTTTGAGAGGCGGATTGTCGCGACGCAGAGGTTGCGGCATAAACGATGCGCCCGCCGGTGAATTAAAGCGTATACCTGGGCTGGTCGTTCGGACAATCGATAATGCTGGGTCGTAAAACTGCGCACGAGGCACGTAGCGTGTCTGATAAATAATGCAATTTTATCGAGAGGGTCGATGTCTTGAGGTGTGAAGCGAAAAGCGCCGGATCATTCTTAGTGCCTCGAACAGATCTCGAAACGCCTCACGTCAAATACGATGCGGACACTGATTTGTGCATCAATCTTGTGAAATTGACCTGAAATGCTTGATCCCGAAAAGAACTGAGAACAAGAGTTAATGGGAAATTAGGAACAAGTGTATTATTCGAAATAAGTGATCGTGCGTGCTACAAGATCCACACGAGTGCGGATCGAGTAAGTGCGGATTTCCTTAGATTTTTTTTGCGGACGAGATCGATTCCCGTGACGTCATTGCAAAAACGACTTGAAATAGTGTCAGATTTGGTAAATATTTGTCGGTACTTCGAAATCGAGTAGTTTAACGCGTCACGAAGCATCTCATCGTGATTCAAAGCTTGTTCGATGGGGGATCGAAAAAAAAGGGTCTTTCCATATTGACATGCCATATCAAACAGAGCTCATGTAAAAGGGTCGGGGGATACGTGCCAGAGTCGATAAATCGTGGTGTACGAGCAATTAAGAAGTAAATCGGAAGAGAGGTAATTAACGTAGTATCTAAAGTACGAAGACGCGCATGCCTCACGGTAATTAATTACTTTCAATGTGAGTTTAGAAAAGTCGGAGGATCTCTTGGGTATCATTACACGAACTTGAAGAATGGCACGTAACGCTCGTGAATAAAAGAGGTACAGCGAATAAATTTCTAGTATATAGTCCTGATTACCGAGGCACAACAAAATTGCATGAACTTCGGCGCGGTTACGAAGAATCCTTTCGCGGGTATACGAGAATCTTTAAAATATAAAAGCGAAGAGAACACGCGAATCGAAGCAGTTCGAAATCCGTGAAAATCAACCTCGTTTTGTGCTCGACAGTTTCAGGCGAGCCAGAATGCGGGCGGTGCCGTATGTGCTTCGTTAAACTGACAATAATCGTCAACCGCGTGTCACGAACTTGTACCCGGTAAAGCGAGTGTCGGCAAATGAAATTCCGGCCATGCACTTACGATGACGTCGTTTCGTGATTTGAACATTCGAGCATCGACGCACGCATGAAAATTCGACTCGTCTTCTACGAGTATATGCGTATCTTGACAGGAAGAATCGTCACGAAGAGAAAAACAGAAGAAATCTAAGATTCAAAAACCGATTATTTATGGGTTATATTGAAAGAAGAAACAATTTTCATACATATATCTCGCACAAAGAGAATTAGGAAAACGGGCATTGTTCGTCGTCGATCATCAAAGCAATACATTGATAGCCTGTCGATTCGTTTGAATATCCACAAGAGGAGAATCACAGAAAGAGAGATTACCACAAAAGAGAATCACACGACGTAATCAAAGAGTTATCTTGGGGGCAAAAAACAATATTCAATAGGGAAGTTGGTGCGTGGTCGCGATCGCGGATAGTTATCACCGGAAAACAATAATCGACTAACAGTCGACGATTGTCGTCACGGGACAAATGATGGACCTTATCAAAGTCGACATGTGATACGGCGCACGGCGACAAACGAGTGGTGTGCGCGATTAGTTACGAGAGAATGACGGTGATGTGTACATCGTTCACGGATGTTGTTCAGTGCCGGGATGCTGCAGTGAGTAACTGTCACTAAAAGAGCGGCGAGTGTGACACAACGAGATCAGTTTCGTCGTACGTCGCTGTCGTTGCCGTTGTCGTCGTCATTCGTGGAGGAGGGTAAGAAAAGAGCCGTCCGATACCGCTCAGAAAAATACCCAGCATGAAGGATCATCGAGGAGGATGGCTGCGCGTCGTGCTGCCCCTGATAACGTTTCTCTCGCATCAGACAGGTGAGTACAATCTTGTATTATTGCGCCAGCTTTTCTTCACGAGAGCCTCGAGATGATCGAGCCGCACAAGATATATATCCATATTTTATTGTTGCTTAATTGTATTTACTTTTATAATAGAAACATTATTTTATAACGGTTGATAAATTTGTTATAAAAAGAGCATAATAACAATATTGCGAGGAAAAACTCTAAAAGTTTTAAATTTTGTATATTAAAGAAGATATTATAAAACGTGAGTAATTTGGAAAAAGAGATTATTCTTTGAAAATGAAATTATAAGATAGGAAGTGAGAAAGATTATAACTTTTTAGATTTAAGCGGATATTCTATAGTCGTTTATACGCTCTTTTTCGAATAAATTTCTCAATTTACATCGGCGCGCAGTAATTTAACGATTGAATGAAATAGATGATTGCACCGATAATCATAATTTAAAGCCGATTATTACGGAATGCAAGTGCACAAATACGTTTTATGCATATAAATAGAGTTCTGTGAACGTAATCTAGAGCGGTGGACGGACAAATATTTTTTTTTGCTATTTTCTGATGGCCCAAATAAACTTAAAGCGGTGGAACGACACCCTGTCGCTCATTCGAACAAAGCGCGAGTGTGTCGGTAAAATGGGCCACACCGACACGATGTATTGTTTTTCCACACACGCGCTCGTGCGGACGCGATTATATCGAAATGTATATCACGAATAAAATACTGTAAGGGAGACCCAATTTTCGACAGAATATTGCGATTTAATGAGCTCCGAGGTAACCAGCTTTTGGATGGTGGTTTATTAACGGATCGAATGCTTTTTTTATTTTCCTGTAACACAAGTTCGTTCCATTTTACGATATCTCGCGGTTAATGAATGATTAGGAGTTAATTTGTCGTGATTTGAAATAATTAGCAGGACATTTGTAAGAAAATTGAGATCGCGGTTACATCAGATATTCTTTTCTCTTGAAAAAAAAAAGAAAGCGAGCACGGGAACGTCGTCGTCGGTAAAAAAAAGTCGTGTTATCGCGACATTTCGCGTGACAAGACGAATTCCGAACGTAATTCCCGCCCAGGATTACCAAAACTACTAAAAGGTAGAATCGTTTCTCCTGTATTCTGGTATTCTTAAATACCGCGGGCCGCTATCGCATTCCAGTTGATTTCCATGCAATGAATGGACTCATGAATAAAGCGCTTTAAACCGGATCGCTCGAGATCGTTCGGCGAAAGGCATTCTGCCAATAATTTCAGAGCGAACTCTATCGACATACCGAGTTATTCATAATTCGCTATATGTATGCCGAATTGCATTAAATCGAGAACAGTCGGTAGGAGCAATGAACGATTTGATTGTTGAGATCAGGAATTTCAAGTTGTTCTTATACCTGTATTTCTCTGTATATAGCTTTGTCGAGCAATTTGCGGATTACGAATCACTCAGCGATCCAACATTTTTCTCGTTAAGAGATCAAAAAGCTTTTTTTTTCAAATAGTAAAAGATTTACTATTTAGAACACTCCTTGAAAGAGATATCGATCGGATGTCGTGTCGGACATGTAGCGGAAATTCACTCGTTCGTCATAAACACGCTTCACGAGTAAACCGTATATAAATTACCTGAAATTTTGCCACGTCCAGGAATGATAAATAATATGGGGCCATAATGTTACATATATACAGACACATTGCCGATGCAAGGAAATTCTATTTACGGCGTATTTTCCTGTATCGTGAAATTGCATTTCAAACAGAAATTCTATTAAATACTAAGAATATCATTTACTCAGTTATATTATTAAAAACTTATAAAAAAATATTATTAAAATACAAAATTAAAATTATATTTTTGATAATGAGTTTTAGGACGATTTATTTACTTAGGATTACTTTACTTCAAACTATAAATTAATTTATTGCAAATTTTATGCAAATTCGATGAAACTGACGATAAAGGTAAATATTGAGACAAATTATCGAATTCGGTAGAAGTGAGTAGATAACTTTAGATGCATTTGCATATAAATAAAAAACTTCGATATAATTTCGCGACACCGTTAGACCTCGAAAAACTGCAAACCGAATTAGACATGCTCGGTAATTAACGCGTCTCGGTTCTGCCGACTGTTAGCTTTGGGAGAATAAACATTGCTCGAATTAGCAGAACAAATTTCCCTCGTTTCCCAACGGTGCTCCTCGCTCTTCCGGGTGACTTTCATCGTGTGCCACCTCTGGCCCGTGAATCGAGAAAATGAGGTGTCCGGAAACTCCATCGAGGAGCACGAACTTTCTTACGAACGTCATGGAAAATTGAATTTTTAAGCGACAGGTTATTTGCGACTGGCCGACCGATTCTGATTGATTTTTCCGTTTGTATTTTCCGATTTCGTCGTGATTTCTGCATGTTATCCATTAAACGAAGGCTAATTACAACTGCAAGCATTACAACGAGCAAGCTCGAACGATCCTCCGGATGTATTGTTGTGATCCTGCAAATCCGTAATACGAACGAAAATTTTTGCCTTTATTTATTCACAAAATCACTATTATATATCGCCAATAGAAACTGTATAAATTACGGCTTTTTGTAATAAACCGTGTTTCGAAAATATCGATGAAATCAGAATTTATTTGAAAGAGATATTTTCATTGAAGCGGTAAGAGAGGTAATATTTATTGCGCTGAAATGAAAAGGTCGATAATTTATCGCACAATGAGAGACATGGAAATACAAATTGCTTTTTTATACCAATGTCGGATTTGTATCGCTCTATACAGAGGTATAGACGATTATTTTCATACCACATACATTCCATATATTTACTTTGATCACTTTTACCATTGAAAGTAGACGGGACGAACGGGCAAGAGAATCGATTTCGCGAGTGAATTCTATCACTTCGCATATCTCAACGAGTCGTTGCTCGAATTTCTTAATGTATCGATCCGCGCGATACAGTTGTACGTGCATAATATGTAAATGCTATCCAAACATTGATAGTCCGATGTCTCTTTCGACGAGCATTGCGCCAGAGAATTATAGATATCGAGCGGACGTGTAACACGTTTGTGGAATGCGGTTGATTGTAAGTCGAGAAGCCAATTTGCCAAACTCGAGTTCGTCGTGAGTGGGCGGAGGAGAGAGATAGAGACGCCGCAAGAACGCCGCGGTGTTCCATTGAAGTTGTAGAGAGAAGAGAGTCGATGTTATTATACACCTCTATACAGCAGTATTTATGCAGAAACGACGGTGTATCGTGGATTTGCACAACGTGTCTTGCATCTAATTGCACGCGCGTTATTAAACTCGACACCGGCTTAACTTTTATGCACCCGATGAATGTATCGTTTTCCGAATGCATTAAATTAACTGTGTAGGCTCGATAAGATGCATGCGCATTTAAAAATAGTCGCAGTCTGCAGATGGCGAGAATAGTAGGTTTATTTAATGATTAACGCTTCGCTGATTTATTAAGTACTTGCGGCTATATCGAGACTACCGGAATGACGCAAAAGTTCAAAAGACGTCTGCGAGACATTTAAGACATTAAGAGACGTCTGGAAGATTGAATTATTCTTTAGACAGTTTTACGACGTCTCTTTAAACGTTGTGTCATTCGAGTACTTGATGTAGTCACGTTTTTTCAATAACGACGACGCGTTTTTAATTTCCTTTGTCGCCGGATATGTAGAATATCCGTGGTAACTCTGGGACACCCTTTGTCTATATTCTACTTTATATCATAGCGAATGCCGAAAAATTGAATTGCGGTGTAGCCGGTCGGCACGACCGAACAGTAAATCGAAACTCCCCGCAGAGATGCCGGTACAAACGAACGTAGAGACGAACGCAGAGAGGGAGGGGAGAGAGAGAGAGACAGAGAGCGTAAACCATTACTATTGAGCTTATCAAAGTGATTCACGTGACTGGCCGACGGTATTATGCAAATGAGCCGTAAAATTATCGTAGCCTTCAGGCATCGCCAGGCAAGGGAATACCCTGAACTTTCCATTATACATGATAGCAGAGCACGTTACTATACTATGGTTACAACTGATATCCGTTTCAGAAGGCAAAGATTACTTAATAATTCTCCATTGGATGCAAACTGAGTTTGTCTTTGAATTACCACCCGCGAGAAGCGTTTCTATCTTAGCTGAACTATATCGTAACGAACAAAAATCATAGTTAGGAATCGATATTGCAGAGCAAAATAATAATAACACATAAGCGCGATTTTTTAGCGCAAAACTTTGCAATAATTTATTCAACTTATATTGGTTATATAATGTTACGAAAATTAATAACTTCTAGTATGAGATTGCATCATGATTGTATTAAGAGCTTATTAAAAGAGATTGCGGACATATTTTTATATTTTTTAATAGCGACAGGAGGATTAATGATCTGAGTAGAATTAGTTGACGGGCAAGAGGTGGCAGCCTCCGTCCGGTGTGCCTCTTAGCGAGCTATCAATGTCTTCGTTCCACTTCGTCCGAGGAAACAGGAAGCGATTCCTCCAATGGCCGTCGAGAATGTGTCCGGCAAATTTATACGCGCACAGACAACTGCAGCAACGAGCGCGCGCATGCACCTATATCGCTTCCAGAACAGAAAAGGGATTACGACGGTCGAAGAGAGCAATAGCTCTAAAATTGGTTCAAAGATTTTCGACGGCGTTGATCGAGATTGTGCGCGCGCGCGAGCGTGGCAAAAGGATTTCCTGTCATAAACAGAGAGGCTGGCACACGTACGCGAGTACTTATTCCCTTAATACTGCCTTCGGTAGACGAACGACTCTCGATTACCGCGCGTTATGACGGAACTTCATTTCGCGGCGACGCGAACACTGCCAAACCGATAAGGAGTTAATATTTCGTATACGATCTGTATTACACACGCTATGTCTCTCTCTCGAGTAACTATGCACTTAATATCAATACGCAGTGAATTAGTGTTTGCCCTCTTGAACAAATTCGCGAGCGAAGTAATATTGCCGTATAAT